AAGAGCGGCAAGAGCAAACAAACCCCAGCCTTAATAATAGAAGGAAAATTCGGGAGAAGTGAAATTGGAGCTGCTGTTAGGAGGTGCCTCTGGTGAAGATATCTTTTAATTCTAAAACTTACATTTAAGCACATTGTAGGCCCATAAGGGCATTTAAGTACATACCCCAATTATAAAAATTTAAGCACCTAATATCTAAATTTTACTCACTTAAATCTTATATATCAGATAAAAATCCTATTATTTTAAATTTAAAAAAATTAAATACATATTTTCATATATAAATAGATGACATATATATACAAATTTAAATTAAGAAGTAAATATATAAATAATTAATAATTAAATGGCATGTATCTAATTCCTCCAATTTTATTATGAATATTATTGAGTAAATAAATGAAGTTGGGGTATTTGGATTCGGATATGTTTTAGATTCTTTAGAATTAATATGAAATTAAGTGTCTTATAATTTGTAATTCTTTAAAGTTTAAAAATAAATTAATAGTTTAAAATTAATTAGCATTCAATAAAATATAAATATCATTTTCTCTTTCAATGCATGCTGGTCAGAATCTACAGAAGAAATATAAAAAGGCAAAAATATAGGATGAAAATAATATCTACTCCACTGACTTTCTAAAAGTAATAATATTCTTTTTAAATAATTTTATATCTAAGTAATGTCAAATCACTTGCCAAGCTGTTTTCTGTCAACACTAAAATATTATAAATATAGTGAGAGATTGAGAGGAGATAATATATATATATATATAGAGAGAGAGAGAGAGAGAGAGAGAGAGAATGCATCATGTTTCATATTTAGCGACATGTTATCCAAATTTTATTAATATATGTGGTATATGATCAGTCCATTTATCAAAAGTGAGCAAAATTTTAAATAAGTAAATAATGTGATAAATAAATCATAATAATAGCAATGGTTAAATGGAAAAAATACATATAATTTGGAATTCTAGAGAAAAATACAGAGAAATAATAGAATAATATCATTAAATTTATAAGAGAAAAATATTATTAAATAAGTATAAAAATTTAGAAAAAGAATAGATAATTATTAAATTGGCATTTTATAAATGAGAATCAGGCAAAATTAGAAATTGAGGATCAATAAACTAGAAGCAACTTCATTGGTCCCCACTAATTCGTAATAGCATTGTAACAAACTCTCATAGTACCTAGATTCATCTCTAGGATATTCTACCATATATACTTTAGCAATGTAATTCCAAAGAAAAAGTGAATTTTTCCATTTGATCCTTCTTGACCTATCATTATGGTGTCAAAGCCTGCTTCGAGAAATGTTTTATCACTTCTATGATCTAGTATGATTTTCTTCTGCCAAATTTGATTTATCTTTTCTTCTTTTTCGATGAATTAGGCATTAACTTCAAAATCCCAATCTAACTTTCTACATATTACCCATGCAAACTCCTCTCAATTTTTTTTTATTTCGCATATCAAACAATTTGCCCATAACCAATTTATCACTGATAACAAATGTTTGGTGTTTGCAATACTTAAAACCTTCATGACAAATGGATTTACCAGTTTTTTTTAATTATTCTTTTTTTAATATTTTTTTATGGAAGCAGTTTTTATCCTTTAAAATTTATTGAAAACACAAATTCAATGATCTTAATCCTTGATACACCATACACCATGTGGAATCTTATCGATCAAAACTTGTCAGCATCTTTGTACTTTACCATATCTACTATTATCCTTCCCTATATACTGCACCTCCACAACACTGCAAAAATCTGGACAACTAATAAAGAAAATGCTATGACCCACAAAATGATCTAAAGTGATTCTGTTGAAAAATGAATTGCATCACGTATCAATGAAGGATCACCCCATGACACGCTAATTGACTAAGGTCATAACCAAGGTGGATTAGATAACAGTTGTTGGATCACATTTAGATCAAAAATATGTAATTATGTACATCTCAATGGCTAAACAGTTTCACATAGTGCTTTCAAGGTTGTCATCTGGACCAAACTTTAGCCCATGGCCTATGGTAATCTTTATTCTCCACTATGTAGTAAGGAGATCAACATTAACAATGAAAAAGCAAAAACCAACTCAAAAAATGAGACCCAAATGGTGCTTACAACATCTAGAGGTCACAGCAGCTTCAACTAACTAAAAGGACTTAGTAATTACTCAAATCAAAAAGGAAATTATAAAGATGGATCCAAGGGTGGCAAACAATCAAATCAATCAACCACAATATGTCAAATATGTAACAAAATGGAACACTCAGCATCTATATGTTGGCATAGAACCAACCTGGAAAATGTTCCAAATGTTCTAGCTCAAGCACTTATCGATACCCTGATGGAGTGGATATTGCATTTAACATCGAATCTAAACCAACTTCAAACTGCTAAAACATATCAAGGAGCTGAAAAAGAAATTGTAGGTTGGGCAGGCATTTCCCATCAAACAGAAAGGAGATGGCATCCTTCTAGCACCCACTCATATATTAAAGTTATTTCAAATACATCATATTCCTTTGATATCTCACACTCTTCAATCCATTAACAAACTAACCAAAGACAACAACATAGTTGTTTCATTTGATTCATCTAGTTTTTAAATCTCTAATTCAAAGAATCAACGATTGATCCTCAAGGGCCTCAGCTCTAATGGTCCATACTCCATTCTCTCATCTACTCTACCACACACATTTGCTACCTCCTTTACTCGAGCACAAAATGTAGAGTTGTAGCATAGACGCCTGGAACACCCTCTCCCTGACATCATTTATTCTCAAAAATCCAATTGATATTCATCCCATCCAATCCAAGTTTTTTTAGAATTTACAATCTTATTAGGAGTCATAAACAACCCTTTGTATCTATTATAAGTGTAAAATATTAGAGTCGTTCATAGTGATGTATGAGGTCCCTGCGCAGTTACCTCCTATCAAGACTATAAATATTACATTGTTTTTGTGGTTGACTTCTCTAAATTTTGTTTGGTTTTCCCCATGTTTAATAAATTTGAGACCACATATATCACTCCACATTAATCCAACATTAAAATTAAAATCCTTCAATTGGATGGTGGAGGAGAGTATATCATACCTTAAACTGATTCCTGAAGGAGAATGTCAATCTACACCAATATTCATGCACATACAAAAAAAAAATGGATTTATGAAAATAAACCATACGCATAGTACTGAGGCAACTTATGTTCTATTACAACAAGCTCATTTATAATACACCTTCTAGACTAAAATTCTCCTAACAACAGTTACTTAATAAACAAAATGCTAAGCAGAACCACTAAACAAATTTCCCCTTATCAGCATCTTCATAACTCCTCGCCAGAATACAACCATCTCAGGGTCTTTGGGTGTACTGCTACCCGCGGAGAAAATTATAAACATCCCATAAATTTGCACCAAGATCTGTCAAATGCATCTTCCTGAGGTACCCACTATAACACAAGGGCGACAAATATTTCAACCCAATCACAACACAATGTCATAATCTCGAGACATGCAGTATTTGATGAACATACATTTTTCATATCTATAGAAATCTAAGACTCATCAAGCTAAAAAGCAACCTCCAGCTCCACTCATACCACCAATTATTCTGACCCCAACTACGTATTTAACTTCCTCAAATAACTCTCCACCCAAACCTTAAACCCTTCGTTCCACCTCTAACAAAACCTCAATCTTCTTGATGTTCTACATCACTCCCATAGTGAATCCCAACACAAAACCAACCATCACATCTGGCATTGTAAATCCATTAAAAATTAAATATATCCCGCCAACATTAGCAAATACTTGATCCAACATGCTACATCCAAATTGTCAAACATCCTCAGAGGAGACATACCATGAAAAAAGAACTTGACGCACTTCAAAGACGGGGAACATGGATGTTGGCCGCTCCTCCGAATGAACAGCCCTTTCTAGGCTCCAAGTGGACATACACCACCAAATTTAACTCTGACAGTATCGTGATACAATACAAGGCCAAACTGGTAGTTGAAGGTCACAGGCAAGAGTTAGGCGTCAGCTACCATGAAAACTTTAACCCAGTGGATAAACTTTTAACTTATCACATGCTCATGACCATTTCCCATAACTTAGACATCCTAAAATTTGATATTTCCAATGTGTTCTTACATGGAACTCTCAATGACATGATCTACATGAAATGACCTCTAAGTTTTCATGTCCTCAATTACCTAACAATGTGTGTTTACTAAGTAAATCTCTGTATGGATTTAAACATACTTTTAGGCAATGATTCATTAAATTATCAGATTTCTTCATTGCCTGTGGTTTTCAAATTAGCTAGGTTGATCCATCTCTATCATTATACCATCAAGATAATATCATAGTGTTTGTACTTATCAGCATAGATGGTGCTCTAATTACCAGAAACAACCCCACAACAATTTCCCAAGTAATATATATTCTGGCTTTGATTGTTCAACAAAAACATCTGGGTCTGATATGATGTTTCTTCGTATCGATGTTTAGAAGCCACCTAATTCTTACTTCTTAAGTCAGCACGAGTATGTTCTACAACTTCTCCATATTATAAAAATATAATATTGTACACCAGTCAACACACTTACACTAGTTAAGGAATGCTCCTCATCCAAATACAACACTAATCCAACCTTACACGGACAATCGATTGAATCACTTCAATATCTCATCATTACCACACCTGATATTTCGTATGTTATAAATTGTTTACGACAGTACATGCATACTCCTGCCACAACTCACTATCAGAAAGTCACTCAACTTCCTCAATATTTGAAAGGAATCAATCATTTTGGTATGAAACTTCAATCAAGAAATCTACACTTCTGATCATATGAAATGTTGACTGTTGGGCAAGTGACAAATCTAACAATAAATCCACCACTGGAGTGAGCTCATTTCTTGGCAAACTATTACCTCCCATTCTGT